TTAACTGAATTAATTTTAACCCTAAAGCACTTTGGGTGAATAGATTTTATGAAAGATCTGATACAAAATAAAGTCTTGGGGGCCTTATGCCACTGTAGGTGCACAAAGGAGCCTTGGTGTAACTGAGAATCAGACCCTTATTTCCCAGATTCTACATGGAGTTTAATCTCAGTGCGGCTCACAGATTCCATTTAATGACAAAGCGGCTCTTTGATTGATAAAGGTCCCAGGCCTCTGATGCAGACTAAATAGCCAAGCATCCTGAACAGTGGAAAAATTATTCTTGGACATGTATGAAAGAAGACTCTCCATCACTTTCTCACATATGCTTCTTAGAAAAATTCCTTTTCATTTCAGAATGCTGTTTTATAAGGAAATATTAAGAGGAGAGAGGGCTTTGCCTTTTGCTCCAAGAGGTGGCTGTTTGGCAAGGGAAAAAAACAAAGTCAACATAGAAATAGCATGGAAGCGCCCTACAGAAGGTTTATTTTGCTCGGTGCACCCATGGCTTCGAAACTCAGGGAAGTTAGGTCAATTAAACTTGTGTGCAGCAAAATTGCACTGGAGACAAGAGTCTACGGACATGAGGTATTGATTGTAACCTGCTAGCACCCAGAAAGGGGCATTTTCAGCTGCCTGTGCCTGGGAGGTTTCTGAGCCTCCAATTTTCCACATAAATGCTCAGGAAAGGAGGAGGGGAGCCCGCAGAGGCTCAAGGTATGCTCAGAACAACCAAAGGGAATTATGGCCCTTCAGCACAGTTACATTCCATAGACTATCACACAGCTTCTGACTCACATCTTCATGAGATTCATAATATCTACATTCAGATATGTATACATGTACATATATATAAGTGTCTAATTCTAAAAGGACGATTACTGGCCACCACTACCTACTCTCTAGCACTGTGAAACTCATTGCAGCGAGATGATCCTTTATAGAAGAAGGCAATGTTCAATGCACTCTGCTTCCAGTCTGGGTCTACCACAAACCTCAGCTTCAAAGATCAGTTCTTCACCAACACAACTCCTTCAAAAGGGCATGTGTTAGAGAACAAGAGAACAAGAAGTGAGCCATGGAATCATGTTCTGCTTCCCATCGCTGCCACCAACTTGCTAAATAACCTTGAGCAAGTCACTTCCCAAATCCACTTTTCTTCCCAATGCTTCCTTGTTCAGACCTTCAGCTCCTTGGGACAGGGACACTGTGTGTGAGAGGTACACAGGTTTAACGCTTGGAGCTGTATATTGTTACCATAAACATCCATACTAGCACACATTGGAATAAGCTTTCAGATAAGAGGGAAAAAATCCTGTTCACTGAAAGGGAAGTCAGCATCTGTTTGAAGAGCCGCTCTGGCACACGAACACCTCAGCCCATTTGTATTCCAATGGATTTATTTCACTGTATCTGAAAGTTTCATCAACTTCTGTACAAGGAAAAGAGGGAAAAAGGAGGGGGGAGGAAACCTGCCTGTGAGTGCTGCCAGTTTCTCCATTACAGATACTCACACACTGTAATCACAGGCGCTAAAGAACTTGCTCTGATCTGCTCAGAACAGATGACCTCGCAGCTCTTTCCTCACCTGTAATTTCTAGATTTCAGCTGATTTAAAAGACTGCGAGGAAACAAAACACTGTTCATAGATCAGTGCCAAAGAGAAGCCCCTGTATCAGGAACACGTCTGTCTGTTTCTGATACAGGGAGTAAATTGACTCCAAATACAGCCCTGGACTTGTTGGTCGTTTTCCCTCGAAGCAGTAAATAAGGAGCAGGGCTGGGAAGCTAAGCCAAGCTAATTTGGCCAGTTATTATTTGACTGAAAGGTGATAGGGAACGTTTAAACGTTAAAGGTTTATACCCTTCTTGTTAGTGGCATCACTCAATCACGACTACTAAGCCTCCAAGTGAAGGGATTGCAACTACCGAGGGAATTACTCACTCCAACCAGGAAATGTGGGGTTTGTTAGTTCAAACAGCATCTGTAGGAAGCTGGTAAACAACAGCTGAGATGATGAAAGATCACATCAACTCCTTGCTTTGAAGTAAAAGATATTAAAACCACGAGTGTACAAGTTCCTATTATAGCTCAGCCCCCCCCGCATGCTGATCCCCAAGAACCTGGCATGGTTGTAGTTGCTGCATAACAAGCTGTATAATAAAAATCCATAAAAATATCAACGAGGCACTTGAAAGTGACATGGAAAAGCGAGGGAATTTGTGGTGATGCTGCCATTACAGGCGATTTGTTCCTTTATGCCTGGAACAAAATCAAACATTCTTCCAGGCCCAGAGTGACATTTGGAGTCTCAGAAACTTCAGATCAGTTGTCACCTGGATGGGCAGATTGTGGGTACTGAAAAGCAGAACCATTACAAGCATTTGTGCATGGGGTGTGTGGCAGATTTGTGCATGAGCACAAGGACAAGGGGTCAGATTTTAACAGCAGACTCATTGAAGTGCGAGTTCTCCCTGCGTTAGGTGTTTGTTGGCAATTACAAAAGTACAAAAACGAGTCAGGGGCTGCTGCCTCTTGGCATGTTAAAGGGCTGCAGGTTAAATGCCTACAGTGCTTTGGAGCTGCTCGTCCAAGTTGCTCCAGGAAGTTCTGTTACATGACAGTACTGAGAATCAAGCACACACATCTTAGATTCCCATTGCTGTCAGCTTCTATCATTTTAGTCCACTCCACCCATAGTGAAAAATCTCCTCACCTGCTCCTTACCCAACATCTGCTTTCTCCATCTCTTCTAAATCCCCTCACTGTTTGGTATTGTGTTTCCCTCTTCTTTCCCTTCCAGGAACCACTCCACCTTGCTTTTTCCTCTGAGCTAACTAACCCCATCATGCATTCCACCCTCACCAAAACTGGCACCTACAGAGTCCAGCTGATAGACAGCAGAGACCCAGGCTTTAGTTCAGGTCTCTGGTGCTCCTACGCTGCAGTCATTTCTCTCTCTAAGCCATTCTTCTATAAAATAAGGATAACAATTTACATCTTTATTTGCAAAATGCTTTGAGATCTTGACATGAAAAGAGCCAAAGAGCAAGCATGAATAATATACGAGCGCTACAGGACAAGAGATGGGTTTTTCCTGTTCCTACCACACCAATTGAAATGTTTTTACCTATGTAAATGTTTTTTCCACAACAAACCTTTTCAATAAGCATTTTCCCCTACTTGTTTTAAAAGCCTTTAGCTTTAAGAATTGCCTGCTCAGGAAGATCTCTAAAACCAATCACCCTCACAATGTGGACTCTCTTTCTAGAGCCTCACACTTCCCTGCTGTTTCCTCTCTCTGCATTCTCCTCCCCCAGCAAGGTACCCCAGATTCCATACTTTTGTAACCATGCCTTTATATGTATTAGAGCCATACAGGCATATACAGTCAAACTTGAACTTGTCCATTTGTCAGAAGGTACCTGGAAGCTGAAATACTCAGAGGTATTTTGCCATCTCATTTGTTTGATTAGTTGCCTTTCAGCACATGTAAATCTATTTATTTAGGATGCCATGCAACAGAGTGCTTCAGGGTACAGCACATCCAGCTTCCGCAGAAAACAAACATCCTAGGCCTTGACCCTGCAATAAACCCCACACCAGCAGCTTTATGTCTTCGGCATAGCAGTGGTTATGACTTGAAAATGTCCCAAATGCTCCCAAATGAAGGAATGCTAAAGGATATGGATCTGAGTGTGAAACTACATCTCAGGGATACCAGGGCAAACCAGTATCTTTCAGAAGACGTAATCTTCATAAAGTCTTCCTGGCCCTTAAAAATGATGGTCAAACAATAGCAATCCCTCCTCAGTGCAAGTCCCATCCCTTCCTGAAGTCTTTGGCAGCCACCCTTAGAGAAATAGAGTTCAGATGCAATAAAAGCAGATACTCCAGAGACTCCACAGAGCCATCTAGGATTCCCATTCCCCCTTTTTGGTTTTGTTTGTTTGGGATTTTTTTAGGCACAATAACCATGACAGGCTGTAGAACCTCAGGTATAAAGCCCCAAGATAGATGGGAGATGCAGCCAGACATCCCTGCTCACCTTCATCTCTTCTTTCCCTTTATGGAGGCTATAAATGACCACATTTGTGTGTCAAAAACCTGTGTATGAGTATGAGCCACAGACTGATAGGAGGCAATGGATTACGAACTACTGGTGATAGATGTACTCCATGGCTTTCCCATGGTTTCCAGCTCTGGGTGGAAAACTAGCCATTTTCCTTGAGCAAACCAAGTGGCTTTTGCTGTAGCATTTTGCTAAAGCCAAAGCTGAGCACAAATAGGTCCAGATTTTGCTTGTCAGTATAGAGTACATGTTCCAAGGGCTGGGAGGAAAAGCGGGGTATGAGGAGGACTTGACTCTCGATGATCCTGACCTAAGCTCAGCTGTTAGACCACAACATCACCTCTCTTTTTCCAGCACAGAGCTGCTGGGTCTGATTCGATCAATTCTTTAAAATGCAGAATGTGAAAACAAATCTGTTGAGGTTTTCTCCCTGATCACAAGACTTTGCACCTTTGTGGATGAGCACAGTGAGGAACACACACTCTGCAAAGGAATTCATCAGATCTCAGGAAAGAACATGCAGGCTTGGAGGAGCATCCTTCCCAGCAGCTTCCAAAGTAACAACTGGTGACAAAAGTTAAACTGCATTCCCAAGTGCCCTAAATGTGACAGATTAGAACCACCAAGGTAGAAGGAAATATCCGTGTGTTAGGAGGACACACTGATCACCACAAATGCATCTTTATGAAACAACTGCAGTCAGCTGTCAGCACACGCTGTTCTTTCACTTCCCCCCTTCCCTCATCTAAAGGTATCTGCTGCATTATGGGGCTACAAGTAATGCAATAAAAAAGCATTTCAAGTTTCATTTGACTCTTGTTGCACTGTACACCAGAGCTGCATGCTTTACAAGTCTACCAGAGTGAAATAAAAAGTAAGACTTCCTGTATGTCTGCTCTGCTGCTCAGGTTATGAGGCAGAGAAAAAAGTATCTATATATCAGTAATTGCTTTACATATAAATGTGAAAACAATTTTAGAACTCCCTGGTCCTGTATCAACATGCATACGTCTTTTACCAGCTCTGAACTGCCTATTATCATCACACATAAGAGCAATGATAAAGGAGAAGGTTATACTCCACAGTTCTATGTTAACCTGTTTATACCCAAGCATTTGCAAAATTACCTTGAGGCGTATCTAGGGATGCTGAGGGCTCTACAGCTTCTTGCATTGTGCAAGGAGTAGCAATGTAAAAATCTAGGAACATCACCCCTGGCCGTGCTGCCTTCCAAAGTCACAGAGCACAGCAGAGGAATCTTCAGTAGCCTTCAATACAGCCACTGTATCAGCTTGCAGATGCTGATGGCTGTGTTACATTGCTATGGTGTTACACTAATGCTGAAAGTACAACAGAAAATACTCAGTTCTATGGATTTCACTGCATCAAAAGAAAAGCCAGATTCTGGGTAGCTGACATACAGCCTTGCACCAAACTAAGTGCATGGGTTTAAAACCCATTCATTGTACTGTTATTTCAGTGCTGATCTATCCACGTAAACTAGCCCCATATTCCACTACATCCATCGACAACAGCCCATACACTCCACCAAGAAAAAAAAAAGAAAATCAATACTATGCAATTAAAAATATTTCTTTTAAGTAGCAGTAACCTGTCTTTTCCTTTGGCAAAGACAGCCAAAAGCTTGTATATAGCACATACCCAACAGAAACAAACCCGAGTGGACATGCTCCTCAAGGAAACCCTGGGGAGCTGAGTGCCACTTGAGGGAGAAACAAAGCACTTACCTCAGTGTAATGCACTGCCAGAAACCATTTAAAAAGCAAAACCCAACAACCAGCAACCCAGAGCACTCCAGCTATTCACCCTGCCTGCTGTGTATGGCCCTGCACTCCAGTGTATCTATGGGGTAGTAGTTAAAGCTCTTTGAAAGAGGACTGAAATTTAGCAGCTGTATTAATGAATGCATGGAATAGCAAGTATGTGCACTGCAAACAAACCGAGTTTGAGCCTTATTACATGAGGAAACCCTTGGAGCCAGCCCTTCTGCAAGCCACTGTCATTAGTGGGGACCTGCAGAAGTCCTTGCATGGCCCCAGGAGCCTGTAGAATGATTTCTTGGGTTTTAAGGTCAGCAAGTACCATCAGGTCATTTAGCCCAATGTCCTGAATAGCACAGGCCAGAGAGTTTCACCAAAAGAAACACCCCGTGACAAATGTAAGTATCAGATCCAAAGACAAAGAAAGCCTTCCCTGGTGCAGCAGTGTCTTCAGTTCTGTTGAGTTGCTAGTACTGGGTTTAACAAGCATTGCTTTGTACAAAGATCTGAACGGATGTCTATTAAAAGCCCTGGTCTTGAGCAGCTCAGAAACCCTATAAAATGAGGAGATCATTTGATTCCTAAGGAGAAAGTAAAAGATCAACAGGCAAACTAAGCTGGACTTGAACTTGAAACATCACAGACTGCTTGGGTGCCAACAGAGGCAGTCTGAACACCAGCCAGAATGCTTCAGGTTCTGATTTAGTGCCCAATGAAATCAATTATTGATTTCAGCAGGAGTTGGAGGATGTCTGATGGGAATTGCCCAAAGGGACACAGGAAGTTTGTGGCAGAGCTGAGAACCAACCCAGCTCTCCAGACTTTCCATTTAACCATATGTCCTGCTGTCCTTTTGCATTTCTCTATTCTCTGTAGAAGCGACTCCCCCCACCTCTGCCCCCCTGCTCTGCTAGGAAGAAGTGGATGGCACTTTAACTCTCCTAGCTGCGCTCTGTCAGCTCTCACTGCCACTTGGGATGTGCTGTCGCTTCCATGGAAACAGATTCATGAATCCTTTTCCCAGGAAATGCCTCCAAACTGCCTTCATTTTGTTTTGTTGTTGTTTCTAGGCAAGTCTGTGTGCACATGTGCATGCTGAGGCTGGAGGACTTGTGCTGCTATTTAACGTAGAAACAACCTTTTGGAAACCAAATTGGGTGCAACATCAATGGCGTTGTAAAATATTCTTTTTTTTCCAAGGATTTCCCCTCTTCTGCCTGGGGTTTCTTTGCCAACACTGGTCCTGCCATTTAGATGGCATGTGGCTATTAAAATGTTCACCCATCTATTTGCATCTGTCATGGTCAAGGACAGACAGTTGTGTTGCAGTGAAAGAGAAGGGGAATCTCTACCACAGCAGGTCTGGTTACAAGGATGCAGCTCACTCTAAATGCTTGCACTAACATGGCTCGTGCTTTCCACCACCTTGGGCAATACTGGGGGTTGGAGTATAACAGAAGACTTGACACTCTACAGCCTGGGCTGCCAAGCCAGAAGTTGGGCAAGATCAGTACCACATACTGAATCAAGGCCCGACAAGGAAATGTAATTCACATGGACAGTGATTTACAGCCAAGCAGGTCCCCTTATACCCGAGGAGAGATTAAAGGGGAGAGCAGTCCATAGAAAAGACCGCAGAGCACATCAAGTCACAGAGCCAACGATCAGCTTCACCCACCCGACACAGGTTTCTCTCCATCAATACCAACAAGCAAAGCTGCCAGCTCTGAGCCCTGCTTTACCCCCCATGCTTACAGGACAGCAATCTCAAAGAGAATACAGGACTATGGAAGTCCTGAACTCTGATCCTCAGTTCATTGCCACAGAACACCCCTTGTCAGCTTAAATGGCTTTAACCTGCCAGAGGGGAGGTTGAAATGAGCTCTTAGGCAGAAGCTCTTCCCTGTGAGGGTGCTGAGGCGCTGGCACAGGGTGCCCAGAGAAGCTGTGGCTGCTCCATCCCTGGCAGTGTTCAAGGCCAGGTTGGACACAGGGGCTTGGAGCAAGCTGCTCTATGGAAGGTGCCCCTGCCCGTGGCAGGGGGTTGGAACTGGATGAGTTTTTAGGTGTCTGTTTAGAGCTCTATTTGCCTTGTGCTTTAGTCCTTTACTGGTCCTCTGTCTGCTGGTAGATGACATCTGCTTGGGGTGACCGAGAGCACCAAGACACTGGCTCCTATTTATTACAAGTATTTCCTTTCTGTGTGAGAAGGGGAGAGATGTTTTGTTCTGTGTAATTGAGAACTTGGAAGGTTCTTGCACTCTTGATGTTCAGAGTGAGAACTTCACTTCTGCTGCAGCTTTTGGGCTTCATCTGCATGAAACATCTTTTATCGAGCCACTAAGAGGATGATTTTCCTTTAAAGACCACAAGCCCAAGTCTTTAGTAAATGGGAACCATAAGAAGCCTTTAAAAAGGGGCCACTGTAGAGCAAGGCAGTATCATGGTGGCAATTACATAAGTAACTCAAGGCACTGGCATCGGGATAACTGCAAGGGACTCTTAGTGAGGGCTGGGACACTCGCCCTCCGTAAATCTCATGATGATATGAATAATAACCCTCTCCTATCTTCTGTTGTTCACCTTTCAATCTATGTAAAGGTAACTCTGTGGAGTACACACTGAATGTAATCCTCCTGAACATAGAGAAGTGCTTCAGTCATGGACATCACCCAGGAATTCCAAGTTAACCCTAACAACAGGCCTTAGCACATGAATTCAGCCAAATTGCAAAATTCAGTGTGACACAAGTGAACACGACAGCAGGATGCTGATCTGAACCAATTGCACAGCTTTTTCATCCAGTCTTCAGAGAAAATAGAAACCAGTGTATGTTTCAGTAGTGACCCCAGTCACACACATTCCTGGTAAGAGCAGTGTCTGAAGCCAACTCAAATACGACAAGGGTTAAGCTACTCAACCTAGTGAAGCTGTCTGTAAGAAGGGCAGAGAAACTTTGCTCTGTCATGTCCTTGTACCAACTTCCAATGTACAACAAACGATTTTGGCTGCAAAGGAGAATTCTCCCACTGTTACATCTGCAATGCTAGTGCACTCCACAGACACCGTGTTGGTTTCATGTAGCATAATAGCCTGAGGGAAACCCTTTTCTTATTTCACTCCTCTCTCGCCCTCTTTTTCCTCCATCCTGCAAACAATTCATTAGAAAGCTACACCTAAATTATAAACTACCAACTTTACGGAGGAAATAAATTTACTTGAGATTCTGAATGGCTGCTATGTCCAGATTGGAGAGAAGCAGCTGGTTTGGAAATGTTGCCTTTTTCTTTGTTCCGAATGCTATTTAAACATTGGCAGGGGGCCTCATTAAAGATGAATCGATGAATTAGTAAGTAGTGTTGTAGCCAGAAGAGACAGCATGTGCTCCTGTGGTGAAAACAGATTTACACAAAAGAAAGGAAGGGAGGGGGAGAAAATACCCCATCTCAATGTGTAACAAAGTCAGTGTTTTACAATATTCTATCAGAGCTGCACCAATCCCAGGCAGGATCCATCACAATTTCCAATATAAATTCATATTTGGGGAGAGAAGTTGGAACTGGATGCAAAGTTTCCTCTGGGCTAAAATGTAATAGACAAGTTCTGAACCCTAGAGCATTTTAGTTACCAAAATGTTATGAAGTGTGAAATAATAATAATTAGGCATATAACATGGGAATCACAAAACACAAAGATATAATCCAGCTGAAAAAGCAAAGAGAGATATCAGATCCACTATCACAATTGATGTATGCAGGCATTAATATGTTAATAGCACCTTAGTTTTGGCACCAGACTTCAATGGAAGTCTCAGAAAAAAGGATCAGCTTTAGCCATGCAACTGCAGGGGGGTTTCACATAGTCCACGATGATGAGGGGATAAATATCAGGGGACAGACCAAAAGTGGAACTGCTTATCTGACTCTGAAATGCAAAGAAGTCAGGGAAGACAAAAGACCTGTCACAGCTCCTGCCCTCAGCACAATACTTACTCTTTTGGCCTTTATCTCTTGCTCCAGCACCAGGAGATGCAAAGGTAGCTCCACACTGTAGTAATGAGAATGGTGCTTCCCATCTTACAACTGAATATAGCTTGCGCATCACCTACTCACAGGCACGTGCCCACCATCAAACAACTGGACATCAACCTTCTCCTGTGCCACCAGGAGATAGCATTACATTACAAATCAGAGCAAATTACTAAGGCCTGAAAACGGAGAACTGAGGCACAGAGGTTTCGTGATTTACTCAAGGTCACCCTGGGAATCTTGAGCAAAGGCTGAATCCAGACCCCTCCTATTCAATACCTGTTCATCTATGACCTATCCTGCAAAGCAGAAACTGAAGGAATATAAGCAACTACCAAGTAAACATGATTTCTGAGTGACTCCAGTGGGTTTTTAACTCATATATAGAATATATATATATATTGCTCCAGACGGCAAGACTGATTCATTTCAGGTCCATCACTATTAATAAACCTCAAGAAGAGTCCTAAAAACTTGCAAGACACTAGTTGCTCTTCTACAGTTGCCAGAGGACCATTTATCCTACTTTGT